ACACCCAAGGACAGGAGGGTGATCCAGGCTGACCTTGACAGGCTCAGGAAATGGGCAGACGAGAACACTGAAAAATGCAAGGTTCTCCACCTTGGGAGGAAAAACCTGCAGCATGCTTATAGGCTCGGCAGTGCTACGCTGGCTAGCACTATGGACGAAAGGGACTTGGGGGTCATGATTGACCACAAGATGAACATGAGCCTTCAGTGTGATGCTGCGGCTAGTAAAGAGAGCAAAATGCTGGCTTGCATCCTGTGACATCTGTAGGTATTATAGGGCTTGCTAGTAGTGCACTGCACTCGTCTGCCTATGGGTGGTAACAGGGTAGACCTCGGCTCTGGATCACCAGGACTGCCAGGAAATGGATCTTACATTTTCTCGCTTGCCACAACTTTGATTACCTATATATTCCCAGGAGGCAATGCCCACAGTGATCCTGCCTGGTCTTGATCCCCATGTCTTCCGTGGAGCTCCAAACTTCCCCTTTACCCTAGCCTAGCCTCTCCAGATGGTGTTTTACGATATTCTTCCACCAGGTTGCAGTGCTGCCTGTTGTAACCTTATTTGCCCCTACCCCAGGGTGTCCTAGTGCCTCTTTTGGGTACACCCTTCCAGGGGGGGGTCCCGGCCTTTGCCAAAAAAAAAAAAAAAAAAAAAAAAAAAAAAAAAAAAAAAAAAAAAAATCACAGAAAACCCCAACTGTTTCTCAGCCTTCTTGTCAGGCTCTGGCAATGTCCCCTTTTCTCATGATCAGGTGCTCAACCTCCCAATCACCATAATTCAGACAAACAAGCCCTTAGTCCATTCTTTGCTGTGTGCAAGCATGCCCTGCACCCCTATGAAGGTTCAGTCTTTCAGGGTCGCCCCGTGCAGGAAGGCTCTACCTGTGACTGTAGATTTTTTCCTTCAGGCCCTCCTCCAGGTCCTCTGCTGGAAAAACTCCAGTCTGGAGATTCTCTCAGGCCTTGTGGACTCCCTCACTCTGGATCCTCAGCTGCAGCTCTGCTCCGGAGATTACCACTAGCCACTTGTTTGTAGGCATCCGCCTGCCTCAGGGTCACTCCCGCAGCCTTCCTCAGGCACGCTCTCCAGTTTCTGCCTGCCCAGACACTCAGTCACTCCACTCTCCCTGCGGCCTGCAAGGTAGTGACCCCTCTCTGCCCCTCTCCGGGGCTGGAAATACCTTTGAGTGGCCTCCCTCCACCAATCCTGAGCGAGATGCTGCGCCAGAAATTGGGTGGGTATTTTCCTTCCTTTCCGGGCTGCAGCTGCAGCCCTGCCGGCCCTCCATGCTGTAAGTTCTGTCTCACTCCTTCACACATCCACAGATGCTTCTCAAGCAAATCCCAGGTCATCATTCTCCCGTTGTACTCGGCCTTGGTGAGGCTGCAGCTGGAGTGCTGCGTCCAGTTTTGGGCTCCACAATTCAAAAAGGATGTGGAGAAGCTTGAGAGTGCAGAGGAGAGCTATGCACATGATCAGAGGTCAGGAAAACAGACCTTATGATGAGAGGCTGAGAGCCATGGGACTCTTCATCCTGGAAAAGCGCAGGCTCAGGGGTGATCTGGTGCTCACCTATAAGTTTATTGGGGTGTTCACCAGAGTGCCGTAAGGGATGACAAGGTCGAATGGTCACAAACTCCTTCATGACCGTTTCAGGCTGGACATAAGGAAGAACTTCTTTACTGTCCGAGCCCCCCAGGTTTGGAATAGACTGCCACCGGAGGCGGTTCAAGCACCCACTTTGAACGCCTTCAAGAGACATTTGGACGTTTATCTTGTTGGGATCCTACGATCCTTGCTGACTTCCTGCCCCTAGGGCAGGGGGCTGGACTTGATGATCCTCCGGGGTCCCTTGCAGCCTGAATGTCTATGAAATCTTACTAAATAGCATTGTTCTTCAGTTTCCAGTTGGAAGTAATGTTTTGTTACTGGACTGTTAATGTTAGCCATCCATTCTCCTAACAGAGTAAAATGTTCTAACACATAGTACATAACTATATATGGATAAATGTAATGCTGATGGACCAAAATATATCAGTGTATCAGTAGTTCAAAATACCACCCAGTTACTCTTCACAGCAGAGCATACCATGTTTAATCATAGAACCATAGGATTAGAAGGGACTTTGCAGATTACCTAGTTCAAGCCCAGCACAAATGAACAATTTCCAAATGCATTTCACTTTTGCATTACCAATTTACTTTTCATGCTTTAAGAAGCATTGAAATATTTTTCTTTGGCAGTTGCTGCCTCTCACCATGCGTCTTGAGTTGCCTGGCTCTTCTGGAGTCTATTACAGGAGGCCATTTGGGGGCGGAATTAAAGGAAACTTTTATTTTAAGAGATGTCATCACCTCCAGGAAATAGGGAGCATAAATAATGGCATGACAGTACAAGACCAGTTTCTGCAAAGGACTGTCACATGTATGTTAACACACTCCCAGCTTCTTTGCTTTCTTACAGTACTTTTCTTCCAAAGGAACATTTACCCCAAGTAGTCAGACTTACCAAGCAAGACCATTTCCCAGCATATATTACCTTTGGTCTTTGTAGCGTGAAATAACCATACCCAAACAGTTTGCCTGCTCAAGATAAGAGCTGATCAAACTATTTCTAACAAGCAAATTTACCTCTCTCTCTCTCTCTCACCAAATGATTGATAGAAATCAGGATTGATTCTTTAATATACTTGTTATTAGTCAATTAGTTAAGCAAATGATTCTTATCTTATGTATTTTCTGAAGACTGTTCACTTTAACTACATGTGTCACTAAAGACATAGTTTTCTTACTGGTTCTTGACTGGATGACTGAAAATTTTGAATGGGAGACCACCGGTAATGGGAGGCGAAAATATTACTCGGGGGGTGGAGCTGGAGGCCATTGAGGGGTCAGTGCATGCTGGTGAAGAAGCTCATAACAGGGGCACTGGGCATGGCATGACGCTGTGGCAGCAGTGCTTGGCAGTGGCACCAAGCACTGCAGGACAGTGACACCATGGTGCTGCTGCTGTCACCGGCCACTGCAAAATTAGTTGTGGGGGGGAAGGCACAGGCGACTGGTAGGGGGTGCACTTGCCCCCCAGACAGCCAACAGTGAAGCTGTCGGTAGGACTGGTGCCTCCCCTGACAGGGTCGGCGGCTTCTGCAGGTGCCCCCCCAGATGCAGGAGGCACCAGTCACTCGTGGGGGCAGGACTGCTAAGCCCCATTATCCCCTGCCTTCCACCACCTATAGTGACCACCACATGCAAATAGTGAATACTCAGAATGTAGTTCGGTTACTAGTTCTCAGCTAACCTTAATCCAGATTTCAGGATGTTAGAGATGTTGTTTCTCTGAATACACACTAACCACCTGAACTCTCACAAACATCTGATAATGCAGGGTCACAAAGAGCAGCTAATCCAACTCATTTTCTCATTCGTGACAACTTTTGACCATTGCTGTTTGAATTATTCCTCCAGCTCTACTCAAGATTTCAAGAACAGATTGGACAAACATCTGTCAGGGATGGTCTACAAAGACTTGATTCTGCCTCAGGGAAGGGGGTTGAGGGACTAGATGATTGCTTGAATTCCTGTCTGGCTCTCCGTTTATGTGATTCATTGTTTATTTGGGCACTTGTCCTACAATTGTAGTACAAAGTGTACTGCTGTTCCTTCATAGTGCTCCACTGCAGTCAATAAGGCTTTGCATGGGCTTAGTAATTGCCCAGTCATTGAAAGTTGCAAGATCCTTTTTGTGCTCGAGGCTTGATCATTATTATTAAAATACTAGCAAAGTACCCATCAAGAATGACGGGCGGGTAGTGGGGATGGAGCGCCACCACCTACTGCTCTGCGTCCAGCCATGTGCAACACCCCCCACCGCTTTGTGTCTGGCCCCATGCACACCCCCACACTTGCATGCCACAAGCCACACACGCACACCCAGCCACACACCCCCACCCAGCTGCATACACCCAGCCACACACCACACCCATCCAGCCACACACACACACACCTACCCAGCCACACACCACCCACCCACACCTCACACCCAGTCACACAACCACACACCCCACCCAGCTGCATACACCCAGCCACACACCACACCCATCCAGCCACACACACACACACACACGCCACCCACCCACACCTCACACCCAGTCACACAACCCCCACAGCACACACTGCATGCCGCACACAGCCACATGCCACCCCCTGCAGTGCACAGTGGTGGGAGCCACCTGCCCCCAGCCCTGAAGGAGCCGCTGGGGTCCCCTGGCCCTACAGCCTGGCCCAGCCCCTCCCCCCAACCAGGATCAGCCAAAGCAGCTGCAGCCCCAGTCCCTCCTGGCCCTTCCAGGGAAGTGGGGCCCACGCCGCCCCTGGGCTCCCTGGTGCCACACCCCTGCATGAGCCACTGGGCTCTAATGGCCCCACAACCCAGCCCGGCCAAGGCTCCAGTCAGGGTCAACATGGCCCCAGCCAGGCTGGGCTATGGGACACTTGGAGCCCAGCGGCTCCTCCAGAGGTGGTGCCAGGGGGGCACATGGCTCCCGGTCTGCGCA